CCAAGCAATCAATTAACAAACTAAAAGAACGGTCCAAAACAGCGACTGACGCCCAGTTGAGTGTTTTGTGCCCAATCAAAAAGACTGACAACTGGCATAAATATCAATAAAAAGATATAAATATATATATAAACATATAAGCAGAATTTGTGATATTATAAATAAGTTTCAATTGTGTGTGATAATTACTTAGATAAGCTAAGTAAATTTGCCAAAAACAAAAACACAACAAAAAGTAAGTAAAAAAAAATAAAAAAAAAAAAAATACAAAGCCTGTTGAAAAACCAGTTGAAAAATTAAATAAATAAAATAAAATAAATAAAAAAAAAGAAAAAATGCTGCATACAAAAACAGATACATATATAAATAAAAATATTTTTGAGCGCTGATAAGACTTCCGCATGCTTAAAACGATCTTTACACAATATACTTAAATCAGAAATAAAAAAGACTCAAATATATGTGTGCACGCAAACAAAAGACTTAGGCAACGAACTTGACAAGTGTCTGTGCGTGCGTGCAACAAATTTAGAATTAATTTCATTAATTGCAATAATTATAAAATTAAAATAATAAAAAAAAAACAAGAAGCAAGGAAAAAACCAACAACAAGAAATTGTCATTTGCATTTCGAAGAGTGCCTGCCAATAAAATGAGAAAGGCAGAAGATTAAAGCCAAAAACAACAAAAGCAATCCAAATCGAACCAGAGAAGTTCCATTAATAACAATAACAACAACAAAAAACTAGCTGAATAAATAATAGAATGCGAATCTGCCTTTTAAAAGCCGTGTGCCAGGCAAATATCAGTCCATAAATATCAAACGGGTTGCCAGCCAGCCAACAGACAACGACCAGCGGACAGACAGCCAGCGCAGACTCGAAAGTTCACTTTTTATGTTCAACAAACCAAAATGAAAAAGTTTCAAACTCAAACTGTAATAAAGCAACAACAAAATAAAATAAAATAAATAAAAAACACATAAAACAGATTTTAAGTCGAGCGGCATAGCCGACTGCCAAATGACATTTGCAAATTATGGGAAAAAAGGGCAGGCACTAGACAAAGAAATTATCATAAGAAATGCCAAAGTGCCAAAATCTCGACTAGTTAGCCATAGAAAAATTCATAAAGGCAGGGCCTATATAAGTAGATTATATAAGAATAAAAGCTCATGTATATGAAGAGCCCATAACGAAGGCAATCGAATTTGAATTTCATATATGACATATGTGTAAATTGGAATTACAGAACCCAGAAGAGTCTAGAGCGAGGTCTGGGATTATATATGTATAAGAATATATCCCTATCTCCCGTCTAATCTCAATTCTAGTTGATCTATATAACTTCCTGAACTCATATCCAAACTTGCATCTCAACAATATCTTTTGCTCTCGCAGATGCAGGATTATTGGCACATACCACGCGCCTCGCTCGTCTCCTCTAGCAGCTCGGCCATCAGCTCGGCGAGCTCCTCGAAATCGTCCAACAAATCGAGCTCAAATCCGCCAACGCTTGCACAGCGCAGCATCCACTCCACAACCAATTCGAATGGAACTAGCGCAGCTGTCACAGCGGCTGCTGCGGCGGCTGTCTTGGCGGCTGCCAAGCGCGGATCACGCTCGTCACAGGGCTCCAGCGACAGCAACAACAGCACACGGGTGAGTAGTAAGATGAGCCACAAATCATCCATATCGAGCAACCACAACATGAATTGTGACTCATTTGGCATTTTCACCCACACAGAGCGCCACATCCGGCTCGTTGCTGCTGACGGCCGCGAATCTGGAACGATTCGCCGAGATACACAAGAAACAGGAGCGGCAGCACAAGATGCTGCTGTCGGAGCAGCTGCCCAGTGTGCACGGCCACAGCTCCTCGTCGGCCAATTACAATGCGAATCTGGCATTGGCCAGCCACGCCAAGGATGCAGTCATTCCCATCGATGCTGATCCCAATCTGCAGTACATACGCACCAAAGACCTGGACACCGTGTCCATAGCCAGCTCCATGCACTTCACCATGGTTAATGGCGAACCAGGCGGCGCCAAGAAGCCCAAGCGTGGCCTCTGCGATCGCGGACGACAGGTGACGGTTCTCATTGTCAGCATGAGCACCATCTTCATGCTGCTCATCATGGGCATGGTCTATGCACTCGAGAGTAAGTTGGCTCGATATACTCAACTCGGTCTCAGCTGGATTGGCTCAGCTAACGTATTCTCTTTACTTCTTCTCCATTTGCAGTGCGCGCTCGTGATATGCCCAAGAGCTAACGCAATTGCGTGTCGTGCTTAGAATTCGGAGAGGCGCAACCACGCCCCATATATATATATAATCCTATATATATCGTGGCTTCTTAGTTTATTATTTATTGTACTTCCGTGTCAATTATTATTATTGTTATATGCGTTGTCATCGTCTTTTTTGTGCTAGTTGCTTAAGTTATTTATTACACACACCAATTGTTCTGAGAAGCGAAATTTTTGTATGGCCTGCGTCGTACTAGTATTAAGCGAACTTACAATTACAATTAATTAGCGTTAAATTAGTGGATCAACCAACTGTATCACAGCAATGACCTGGACCATGGATTGACAGATACTGAAGTGAATGCCGAATAGCCAATATACACAAACAAACACATATATATGTAGGTACATGTACAGATATGTATGTATATATATGATGATATATGAAAAATATGATTAGTTCTTTAATGTCTATTCAGAGAAGGAAGTGTATTTTTCAATTAAACAATTAAGTTTTTTAGCCCTGTGATATGTCAAAATAAACAGAATTAAAATTGTATGACACAAAATATGTTGGGAATTCTTTTACTTCTATGAGTCATGAACTCAAACGGAGGTCAAGCATTCTGCTCTTCTTGTCTACCTATGAGTCATGCCCTCTGCAGTGAGAGGGAGTTTAGCTGCTGAAGCGTTTAGCAGCACCTGCTTTAAAACACGTACACACAGTAGCTGATCACCTTAGCAACAATTAAAAACATACGTTACAACAATAACCAACCTGGATCAACAACAACCTGGCAACAACAAACATAGACCAACAATAACATCTGGCGGAAGCTTCAGAAACAACGTCGCCTATATAAAACCAATTGTAAACTAAAAATCCATCAATTGGGGATGTTTTTAACATAAGAATAATTTGATTTAACGAGTAGGGAATATATTTTATGAATATCATCCAACTTCGATAGGTTTCTGAGCGTTCCAGACATCAAATATAAATTCTAGTCGCATATTCATGACTTAGATAAGCTCTTTGAGAGGAATATATTGGTAAAACCCAAAAACAAATTAAAAGCCGCAAAGACTTTCTCCTCATCTGTACAATGTGCGTCATACATCATTTGGAACAGTTTTTCTTATACATTAAACATAAGCTCAACTAAAAACAAACTATAACATTTGGAATTTTGTATACAGTTAACATAAGTTCAAGTCCAATAAATCCAATATCACACGCTTAGACCTTCAATATACAGTTTTAGAGCTGCTGACTAAAAAAGAGAATCTATCTATTTCATATGATAAGAGTTTTCTTAGACTCAGAGATATATTTAAATTAAAAGAGCCTTAACTCACCTCCACCTCCTGCAGTGTCTGTGTCCACATGTATTTGTCTAGAGTGCAGCCATTGCCAGAATTCGGCTGCAATTTGCCCAACTCATCCTTTTCGGTGTCATCATCCACCTTTTCTATGGGCTTGGATAGTTCCTCATTGACTGCTGTCACACGCGCCGAGTCTCCGGCAGCGCCATCCAACAGCTGCTGACGTTTTCTAGAAGAGATTGGAACACATTAAATTGTCTGCTCCTTTATAATATTATAGTCTAACTAACTTGTCCTCCTCCTCCTTGATAATGGCTGCGGCCTCTTCATCGCTAATATCACAAATCTTATTATCGTCCATTTCCTTTTGACGCGCCTCGCGCTCTGCTCGCTCCTTTTCGTCCTTTAGACGTTGTGTAGCTTCGCGTGCTTTCAGCTTCTCCTCATGGGCAGCCATGGCCAGTTTGGACTCCTTGCGGAACACATCCAGCAGCATTTTCTCCCACTCAGCTTGCTTGGCACCTGTGTAGAAATCTGTCTTCCGACGCAAGAAACTGGCCAATGTATGCAGAAACTACAAAAAGCATGGAAAAAACGTGGTTTTATATTTGTTTGTCATTGCCGTTGGCCGGCACAAAAACGCATGGCGTGTTTACGTTGCACATATGCTCAAAAGCACTCTGATGTTATTTTTAATCAACTTGCTAAATATACATTGGCTTTAACAAAGGATTCGTAAACAATTCCATGATTCTGTGTGCCATGCTTCCAGTTCCAGAGAAAAAACTTACTTCGGGCACTCCGCCTCGATGCTTCTCTGCTAAAGCGAGCAATATGTTGTCAAACTGATCTTCATTGGCGGACATTGTGTTTCCTTCTATTTTGTAAATAGTAAACTTTTTTAATATTTATTTACGTTAGTTTTGTTCTTTTTCTGGAAATTTCCGAATTGAATATTGTTTTGGGGTGACAAGTGACTGCCGGCGACTGTGAGTGTGACCAGCTTAATAACAGACAAAAATATCGTTTACACAAAACAATAAACAGTGCTACCACAACATTTTACTCATTTCGATACATGTCGAATGCAATATATTTTCATATCAGCTAGCTCTTGATCAGCAATTCAATTACCTTAACGGACTTATATTAAAAAAATTGTGTAGCATAAATGAAGGTAAAATTAAACTTTATGTTATTAATAAAAATTTCTGTATATTTTTCGAAGGAAACATGCTTTTAGGCTCGCAACATTTCACATGCAATGTTAAATGCCGCTTAGAATAGTTATATGAGAATTGCGTCGGTCGCAACATCTGTTAGGCAGTTAAAGCTCTCAATTCGAGTTTCGTTCTCACTCTTTCGTACTCCTCTCGCGCTTTTCAGTGTATGAAAATGCGACTTTCGTCCTAGGCTCTCGTTCATTCTCTTTCGGTCTTTTGAAGGAATCAGTCGCATTCTGAATCCATCGGACGTTGATATAATAAAAGTAAATCGAAGTGATAAAATCAAACGTACATATGTACTGAAAAAGTTCTTCATTTTGTGCTGAATGTGAAAACAGTTAAACGGCAATCAACGAAAAAGAGTGTGACGGAAAAGTAATAATTCTACAATTGTTTAGTTTAATAAATAAAATAAAAAAAGTGAATTCTAAATAACTTATTGAATCACAATCGAAAATGCATTTGAGTTTGGGCACCCACCTAATTATTTCCGGCACAGCGAATATGCGTTTGCAAAAATCGATAAACTTCACATAGAAGCGCATACACTCACATTTTATACTCGCATACGAATGTGTATACAAGCCGAAGCGAAAGAAGAAAATTGGGGAGAGAATGGAGTAGAATGAAGTAGGCCCGCCTACAGCTGACAGTGCAGTGCATACTATTAGATACGCTTAAAATAAATTTCAGTGGTACAAGGCAGCTACTATTAATATTGCCAGCTACGTGTGTCTATCATATGATTTCAAGTGATTACTTAATGGTACTCTATTTATGGCCGGCTCTGTGACAGCGCAAGCAGCTTGTGCTCTTCTTTTACCCCCGTCCTGCCGCAAGTACATGGCCCTTGTCGTTGGCTAACTAAAGTGGATTGCTCTATTCGTGTGCGTGAGAGTGTGAGTGCTGTATGTGATGTGTGCGAATGCGTTCAGCTGCTGTATATATTAGCAATGTTTATGCTGCTCTCCCGTTCTTCAGTCGTGATATACGTTTCGCTTTACTATTTTTTTTTTCTTTTTCTGCTTTCTGGTATTCTTTGCACGCGACGTCGACAACTGCGGCGACGACGACGATAACTACAGCTCGATTCGCTATCACATTCGCCATGTGCGCGCCAAAGCTGTTCCAGAGTAGACAGCCAGGCCTGCTCTACTGCTCCGCTTCAAGGTCAGTGTAAGGTTAGCTCTGCAATTGCGACGCACAGGCCATGGCAGTGATTTTGACGCTGTTGTCGCCGCCACTGCTCTGCTCTGCGCGTTGGTCGTTGTCAATATTGTGTTTGTAGTTGTTGCTGCTGCTGTCGAGTAACAATGGCAATTGGGGGCGCTTGGCATTTAATTTGTGCCCAGCAGCCAAACATACATACATTCATACATATATACACACATCCATCTGTGTTAGATGTTTACGCGTGTATGTGTGTATATGTTTGCTTGCGTGTATCCTTCGTCAAAAAATTTGACATTCCCTTGTGCATGCCTTTCTCAATTTAATTTGTTTTTCATGCTTTTGAGCAGCCTCCTACAGCGGAGGCGTCAACATGTCGCCTTTGCGCAAGTGTGTGCGTATGTTTATTGCCGTGAGAGTGTGTACGTTAAAGCTTTGCCAATACCTTTCTACGTCACTTATACCATCATGCCCTTTGACATTTATCTTTTATATAAACAAGTGTATTTATGTATGTATGTGCATAGCATTAATACATAAATGTTGCTTTTCTCTTTCCCTTTCTCACTCTCTGCAAAGCTTGTACTGTGCTATGCTTCACAGCATCTCTCGCACTTTTCCAGCGTATTTTGTGTTCTCCCTTACGTAAGCTTACATAATCAGCTGCAAGCACTTAGCTTGTATTTTTCTAGTCCTTTTCACGCTGTTAACGGATTTTCAAGTGCACTTCAATTTTAAGGATAACATTGTTGTCTTTGTTTTGCTGTGTCTGCGCGAGTGTGTGCATGTGTTTGTGTTGGCTCTTAGGCAATGGCGTAAAAGCCATTTAATTGCTCTTCTATCTGTGAGACTTGAGCGAATGCCCTAATTGGTATTCCGCAGAGCGTGTTATAGAGCCGTAAAGGCTATTCACGGCCAAACATTTCAAGCCGGTTATAAGAAAAACCGGTTTGAATTGAAATCTAGAGAATTATGGATGTGCAGAAGTAGTTGAGCGAAATTCGAAGCAAGATGAAAGTTTATAAATACATTTGAAAAAGAATTTGCAATGCAGAGCAAATAATGTGGTAATAAAATGCCAAGCAAACAAAATTTCAGGCAAAATCTATGGCAGAAGAAAATATGATGTATAAAGCAACAACATCGATTTACAGTACAGACTCGTTAGACTACGTTATTTATAACATTATAATAAAATTATTAAATATGTTTTAAAAAAAACACAATCAAACTAAATTTCTTTAATATTATATATATTTCATTAAACATTAAGCATTAATATTATTCGCAAGCTAGTTTTATATAATTCCATCAAATTAAAGTTGTGTGATCAGAATTCTTTCCAAAAGGTGTGGCGCAGGTGCCCTTTAGCAAAACAACAACAATTTCATTTCCATTTCAATTAGTATTTGTTTTCGAGTAATTCACTAACAAGTCTTGATTGACTAACGAATTGAGACAGAGAGAAATTGGATACATTCTGTGTGTGGTTAGGAGACAGGCGCCGCTGTAACCACAGCCCCAACCACATCCCTAGGCCCCCAGTTCCAGTGCGAACCGGGAAAAAACGTGATAAAATTCTGCCCCAATTGCGTCGTAAACAGGGCATCTGCTCAAGGTATGCCAAATAGCTGCAACAACAACGGCAATAACAACAATAATGATAGCCAAAACAACAACAACAATAAATACTTATGATAACAAATTGTTGTTATGTACAATTGTTATACTTGATTGAGCTGCATTTGCTGACGCCAATTTCCTTAATTGAATTTTACGTTGCACTTAATGCCCTTTGATTTATATGTGGGATTATGTTTTATATAGACATTCACATGCTCTTGACTGCCTCAAAATGCGTCAGCAGCTTGAGCAAGGTATTGCATACTGATATTGTATAACAATGGATGTAGCGCCTGACCGATTCGCTATTACTAGGATTACATCGACCACGCACTGATAAGCCAGCACGCCTCAACCTCTTTCAACTGCATGCTAAGAAATCGACATTAAGTGACGTCAGCAAGCGAAACAATGGAGTTCTTGTCCTGATTGGGAACAAAAATTACTAACAGTATTGTTTAAAATATTGAAAGGAAAGACCATAGAAGTGTAGCAGTTCTAGGAAAATCAAATTCCATGGGCCAAGTCCAAATAGTTGCGTGCTAGGGTCCCTATTCTAAAGTAGTTGAAGTTCTCTCACTTTAATATATAAAACCTGCGTGATGCCCTGACATAAAAAGGGCTACGTAAACTTATTCAAAGTATTAGAGTTGTCCTCAGGCAATAATAATCTAGAGTAAATCATATATAAGAGCTGCTATGAATATATATTTCTTGCTCCAGTTATTGTCTTCCAATAATAGCTTGACATAGGGTCAGTTACAATAGCTATATAGGTGAGGCTCCAACATTAAAGGTCGCGGAAAACCTATTCCAATATTGCCTTTGCCTTAGCTTTGACCCGTGCCCTGGAATGCAAATGCGTCGTATGTTTATTCGACTGTGCAAGTGCATTCATTCCAGCCATTGCCTAATTGACGCGGTGTTCGCGCCGGATCGGGGAGGAGCCGCGCCTAGGTCGAACCTGCTATAAATAGACATAGCACGTTATATTATCTGGACAAATGCGATGCGAGTGGGTAGAAAACTGGCTACAAAAGTAGTCTCTTAATATCGAACATGCATACACTGAAAAGAAATGAGGTGTAACATGCTCATCTGCTCAACTAGCTACCAGATAAGTCTTTTATAGCTGCTAGACACTAAGATATTCAGTAGTAATATAGAGGCGAACTATTGATTCAACCGGAATTGTCTACGCAATCCACTTAACACTTAATAATAGAGCTTAGATCGTGCCATGTCCACCATTCTATTAGCATAACACTAACTACTATATTATATAGAGACTCCAAAGGCAGTTACAGAAACCCTAGCCACCAGCCCATTTTGGAATGCTAGACAAGTGTATATGCCCGATCGAAATATTCAGTTACAAGCAGACAGAAAAACAGAAAAAATAAAAAAATAACTTTTGTTATTTACTCAAGGTAATTGTAAAGCGCAATAAAAAATCGACCGAAGCGTGAGGCGTTTTATAGAGCAAAAATAGAGAGAAGGGAACAGAAAAAAGTTTGCTTTCTCTATGAGATATACAATCCATTGGCTAATTAAATAGGGGAGGGAAGTGCAATATCTCGATAATGAACACAAATTGTTACTATTATTAATATCTTGTGGATTTACGCTTAATTGGCACTATCTCAGTATAGTTGTTTGCACAGCCGGTGCACGTACACTCATCTATAATATAGAACCTATGGCGGGTATATAGTATCTATAACATACCAATAAAGTTAGCAGCTGCTTGAAAACCCAAATGATAAGACGTTAACAGTAGCTCGATCGAGAAAGCTAATTTACTAACTATATATCGTAAACGGAAAATCATTATAAAGTTAATATGAGATTTACGATATTTGATTCTAAAATGTGGATTTACGATCTACAATTGGCGAAAATAAAATTGCTAGTAAAACCTAAGCTTACGATATTTGATAGCTCATGCGAACGTTTCTATATTTAAATAAATTTTCCATTTACGATATTTGATTATTTAATGCTTAAAGTAGTTATTGAGACTTACGTAATTTTATATTAACGATATGCTTTGTCTCGCACGTTTCTCGCAAAAATATTGGCGTCTATTTTTACTGTATGGAACCCGAAACCCTCTCCGACACGCAACATTGCCCAGTCCCATAATTTCAGACAGTTTTTGTTTATCGCAAACGATATTTATTCTTGTTTGTGTATTTGATTGTTTAACATTTATTCGCTGGGAGGTTATTGAAACTTGTTGCATTCCTCGTAATCGCACCGTTTGTTTACATAATAAATATATCATAGGCTAGATATAGATATTTGTGTAAATGTATATCTGGGTATATGTATTTGTATATAACTTTAGTCTATATATAGAGGCACGGAGATGGGACTTTGAACTGACGCGCTGGACTGGTACTGGTTGGCACATCTTCCCCGCCTCTATTCACAGTTTTTGCCTCTTTTTGCTTATGTCATGTACTCTTGCTATATACCAGAAGATGCAGATATTTCATTATCTAAACTTTTCCTATCTTATATCTATGTTTATAAAGCAATTCATAAGAGGATGATATGAAACATAGGTCAAAGTTATGTAAGATAGATAATCTTCAGTAGCAAGGAAACATTTTACTTATAAAGATAGTATAACTAGTCAAGGATTCTTCGTAAAGTATTCATAAATATATTTAGCATATATCTGCTATGTGATTATATATTTTTATTGTCTCCCATTAAACTTTTCCATTGTTTTGGCAGATTTTTGGACTCGGGTCCGACCTACATCACGTCCACATGCGCTTTATTGAAAATGTTATCAGTATCAACCAATTAAACACCCATTCATAAAATTAATTTTTATTTTTAGACTAAATAGAGACTTGGTTCTCTGCTATCATGAATCCAAATCGTGCAGGTTCATCAATAGTCTGCATTCTTCCCAGATTAAAATCAATCTATTTTAGCTCAATTCGTTTATCGCTTATTGCGCACTTTCTGAAAAAGTCCAGGGTGCCAAAAAACCCGTCGAACGGGATCTTATCGTTTGAATGGGAGGGTCTGCTGCATAGGTATGACAAAGCACATAAGGTATGCATTAGATATTATTAAAATTAGCCAAGGCTTCGACTAACGAATGCCCTGTATTCTGTCCCGAATTAGTGATAAAAGAGCAGCTACACATAGGCTGCCTACCGACAAGCCCTATATACCCCTTGTGCTACTGATTAGCTCTATAGGGTATGAGCCGCACTCGTGGCTCCACCCCAGCAGACATTTGCCAGTCGCATGTTAGACACCTGATACTAATCGCAGACCCCCAATAACAACATTCGCACGCGAAGATTATCGCTTAAAAATTGTTTGTTTGTTCTTTTTTTTTCGACTGCCAAAAAGCAATCTCATTCTGTTTATAGTCGTAGCTTCCCGCTCTCGTCTCGGGCCACGAGCATAGTGCGTGTGTATTTCATCAATGTGTCATACGTCTTACGTTTCCGCCGACGACGACGTCGACGATGTAGCGTGACGTATTGCACTGGCAGATAAGTTCAATCGCTCTCTTGCCGGCCGGTCGGCTGTTTGGCTGGCTTTGCTGGGACTTTGGCCAATTTACAATACATGAGTATATTTATTTGTAGTATATATACATACAAGACTGATTTATGAGAGGCCAAAAGATTGCTTGATAATACGTATCAGAGAAGGGCAAGACGCGCCAATCCACGTGTTTCGCTGGATCGCTGAACTCGTAGTTTTATGGGCATTGATTGATTAATTTGTGCAGCATTCATTAACAAAGATAGCTTCAACGATACCAAAATTATTCTCGAGCCACAGACAATTTCTATTCGCTCTCTCCCTCTCTCTATTTCTATCTGTCTTTCATGGGGCGCGTGTCATGGAAAATTTTCGTGCGATTTTGTTGTGGCAATTTTATTGTTGTTGTTTTTTTTTCGCTTTTCGCTATGACAAACAAATTTGCATTTTGTTAAAAATAGATAATTCTAATTTATCTCTATATATATGCTTAAATATATGCTTAAATATTAAATCTTATACATGAATTTAAATGCACCTTCTGAAGCTAAGGTTGATAAACTCATCTTGCGAAAACATCTTCGCACTGAGAAATTTTGTACAGAACATTTAACGTCAAACATGTTACTTTAAAGAAAAATACAAAACAAATAATTAAAATTAATAATAATTTTCATTGTTTTTAATAAATTTGTGTTATTTGATTACGAAACTTGCATCCCTAAATTATGAATTTTATTCTGTTACGTATTTGGCGTTGTTATTGTTTGTGGCTGTTTTTCTCGTTTGAGAATCATTTATTTATAATTTATGCGCATAAGGACATTTAAAATTTAAATGCACCCGTTGCGCTCGTAAAGAACATGTGCTGTAACTGATCAATATATATATATAAATATATGTATAACAGTATTAATAAATATATACATATATGAAGTATTTCACAATTTGATAACGTAAAGAAAACGAACGTTTGATAAAACTGCGAACCTCTTCTCGCTCTTCTACTCAAGTGAAAATTTATTTTACGCAGCAGCATTTGAGCAGCAGCAAATGCAAAATGCAATAGAACTCAAATTGAGGTATGTAAGAACTCTTGCTAAGGATAGGAGTTGAGAGAGAGAAGGAGAGAGAGAGTGTCAGTTTGAACGAAAGATAGCTATGGCTGCGCTGCTCTTGCTCAACGAGCGTTTGCTGTTCTTCTCTCACACTTCCACTTCCTTACTGGGAGAGGGTTGTTGAGTATACATTTTCTTTAGTCAGAAGAGCAGAACAAATACAAATGTAAAATGCAATATGAGCGTCTCTCAGGTATGCATGCAAACCTATTTAAAAGGGTTGATCTCCTGATCAACAACAATTGAGAATTTGAGTGCCACACAACGAAAGATCTGTCGTTCTGCTCTGCTACTGCGCTGTTCCTGGCGCTATTTCCACTCAGCAGGCATACTCTGTTGGGGGTTAGACGTCGCTATGTTTCACAGTCGGCATTCAGTCGCTTCTGAGCAGCCGTCAGTGTCGCGTGTGCCCTCGAGTAAGTGTTTCTGTATAACAAATAAGTTGAGGCAAGCAAAAAATATAGTGAATACATGCGTGAACGCGTGCATGTGTGTGTGTTTGCATTTTTTACTTGAGTAGTGATGTGCGTGCATGCAAAATCAAAACTGTTAATGCAAAAATATGTGCCAATTCAATTGAAATAAATAATTTATTTTTATTTTTTTACAGCAAATACAATCACGTTTTCTGTGCCAAATTAACTGTTATAACCAAGTGCAACTGAAAACTAAAAACAAAAGTGAAAAGTGAAAAGCAAAAGAAAAACAATAAAGCAAAAGTCAGATAAAATAATTTGCATATTATTTTTCGAAGAGCAACGCAAAGCGAAGAACAGTTTAAGCAAGTGCAACGGTAACAACGTATAATGGCACCAATAACCACTGACAATTACGAATTCGAATGTGCAACAAGTGTTGAAAGCGGCAACAATACCGATAACTTTGAAAACGATATTAATATCGATAACGAATGTTTTGTGAGCAGTGCATCGAATGATTCGAATTTGAGTCAAGTTCAGGCTGAAGAACATGTTGCAAAGCAGCAGGAGCAGCAGCCGAAGCAGATGCCATGGGAGGCACCTGGCAAACAGGGACTCTACGATCCCCAGAACGAGCATGAGGCATGCGGCGTGGGATTCATTGTGGCCATCGATGGCAAACGTTCTCACAAGGTAAATTTGTTGTATAACTACATATAGCATTATTCTTTGATTTATTGCTACTCTTTCTTTTTACTTGTCTGTGCTTGCAGATTCTTCGTGATGCCCAGACCTTGTCAGAACGGATGAATCATCGCGGCGCCTGCGCCTGTGACAACGACACCGGCGATGGCGCTGGTGTATTGGCTTCCATTCCTCACGGGCTCTATGCCAAGGCTCTGTAAGTTTACATCGTAGATAGGAATAGGTCTGACTAGGGGTGAAGTCATGCGGGCACATGCACTTGGCAACTTTACAGCTATTTGCCGGCTGCCATTGATGAATGTCTTAAACGTTGTTGACGATGACGGCGATATCGCTGCGATCTCGTGCGCGAAATACAAAAACAAAACAAACAAAAATCAAAGCTATCAGCTTTTGTATGCCCTACTTTCAGTTGAGAGTATAATAGCTACGGGGCTTTTGCAAACAAACTGTGCTGCATTATACATTCCTCTCTCATTCTCTGTCTCTGTTGAATTTGACGTATGTTATCTAATCTAATGCATAGCAAACTTCTATTTAATTAATTTTGTGATATATTAATAGCTATAAAATATTTAATAATTCTTTTTAAAAGAAAACAATTAATAATTTAATTTTGCAGAGATAACTGATATCTTTTGCAGTATTTCACGTGATTTAGTTTATCAATTTTGCGTTATAAAGAACTATATATGTATATACATATATAATTGATAAAAAAATTTAATTTTGCAGAAATTGGAGATAGCTGCTACCTTTCAGCATTTCACGTGATTTAGTTTATTAATTAAAATATTTAAATCTAATGTTTATTTGAGGGTATTCCGTGTGCGCTGTTGCTTTTTCTAGATATGTTCTAAATGCTATTTTGTTATATTACAAATGTATATACTATACAGATGTGTATATGTACGTATGTGCTTCATTGGCTCGGTCTCGACCCACAAATAAAAATAATAAAAACAGTTGAGCATCAGGCGAGCGCGTCAAAAATAGTTTATAATGAAATACTCCTTCACATGTGGCAGAATCATTTGATTTTTTATTATTCTGTTTTTTTTTTTTTTTTTTTTTGCCAAATTGTGTTTGTGTTTGATTTGATTGCCATGTAAATTTCGTTGTTTGCTCGATATGGGCTTTTAGTTCCAGACACGCTTTGCTTAGCTATTATTTAATAATTTAGACAATTTTCGATTATATACAGAAAGTATTCAAGGGGGTTTCAGTAGAGAATGCTGCGCAATTCACAGGTAATAACTTTAGCCCAAATTTTTAAATTATATTTATTAACAGTGCAATGCGAAATAAAACAAATGAAATATGACAAGGCCTGTCAAATATGACATATGAGCAGTAATGAGCTATCTTCTTCTTTTTAACGTAATATTTATTTATTTCTACTAGCTTTGAAAAGATTTACACATAACGAAAGTAATTCTAATTTAGCTAAGATTAAAATAATAAAATATGTTAAATTATACTATGTAGAAATTAGTATGCAGAGAGATATAATTATAGAATATATATAGCCGAGGGAAATAAATATATGTATATGGAAAGATATTTTTGGAATATTTTGGAATGTGTACAATTTTTTATTTATTTTTAAAATTTCAAATCTGTTACTCGAATGCTTAATATGTTTTTTTTTTTTTTTTTTTTTTTTGTCATTTCTGTCAATATATAATATAATAAATATAGTGCTTAGACTCGGAATCTCTCTGTTCTTGTTTCATGTTGCGATATCCAGATAAATATAAAAAATTGATAATATTATTTCAATCTTAGGTTTTTGATTAGGTTTGCTTGAATCTCGGGGCATAATATGTTATTTTCAATTATCAGAATTTAATCTCAGATCAGTCCTCACTTACTTTGGAAATTTTTACTTGAACTTGATTTTGGGATCATTAACCGAACGCGCCCGTATTTTATAACATTTAAAAACAAAAAAAGTCAGACTGATAATACCCAGTGATTCATTGTTAATTGACTAAAACGGCAGCTGCTTAGCTGACTTCTAATTCATATTAAATACTCTTTATTTGGCTATAAACATTGCTTAATTAACACCTAGACCTCGACACCTAATTATGACAAAAAGTTTTGATGGAAAACCCCTGAATCACACTAAAAATAAATTGAAAGAGAGACAGAGAAAGAGAGCAAACTTAAATGTGGACTTCTATAGACTTCAAGTCAGCAGATGAAATGAGAGTGTAGAGTGGATTGGGTGCATGATCAAAAAGGTTTTCTATGACTTCAAGTTCAGGAAATGTATTGGGTCAGACACATGAGCACATGTTCTACGAAATTGTGCAATCAGCGAACGAGAGTTCTCTAAACTCGCTGTTTTGTATATTTTAATGCGCGTTTTAAATGGCAAACGGACGACCAACAGGCGACGCTTGCTGCTGATAAGGCGTCAGATGTTTCGTCATTTTGACGTAATGGAAGCGAAATGCACGATGAATGGTGATAAATGAATGGCATCTGCTCAACCGGGCTAGACAAGCGTTTCAATGCGATTGTCAATGAAACCTGCGCAATTTTTAACGGCTCTCCAAGGGTTTGACGTGCACTGGGCGAAAAGCTTAGGCATTGCGAAAATAAACAATTGAGCTGATTAGAATACAATTCCTTATATTAGTTGGGGTTTTTTGCTAACCATACCTTATACTTTGCTTTCTCTACAGTGCTGAAAAGGGCGTAAACTTGCCCGAGTTGGGCAACTATGCCACGGGCATCTTCTACTTGGACGAGGCCCAGGCTGCCTCCGCGGAAGCTGAGTTCAACGAACTGGCCGAGAGTCTGGGTTTGTCGGTGCTCGCCTGGCGCACCGTGCCAACCAATCAGCAGGCCATTGGCGTTGTTGCACGGAAGTCGGAGCCGTTGTCGCGTCAGGTGTTTGTCGCTCGTCCTGAAGGCTTGGACGAGAAGTCCTTCCAGCGTCAGGTGTTTGTGCTGCGCAAGCGGGCTAGCCATGAGCTGGCCAAACAGGGCAGGCGCTTCTACATCTGTTCCTTGTCGGATCGCACTGTGGTCTACAAGGGTCTCTTCACCTCGGATCAGTTGTGGGACTACTATACGGACCTGCAGGATCCCGAATTTGAGACCTATATGGCCCTGGTGCACACGCGCTTCTCCACCAACACTTTCCCCAGCTGGGAGCGAGCTCATCCGCTGCGCGTCCTGGCCCATAACGGTGAGATTAATACGCTGCGTGGCAATGTGAATCTGATGAAGGCTCGCGAGGGTGTCATGCAGTCGGAGCTGTTTGGCGATCAGCTGAAGAAGCTTTATCCCGTGGTGGAGCCCAATCTATCCGATTCGGGCTCGTTTGATTGTGTCCTGGAGTTCATAACAATGGCGAGTGATCGTTCACTGCCCGAGTCGGTGATGACCATGGTGCCGGAGGCTTGGCAGAACGATCGCACGATGCCCCAGGAGAAGCGCGACTTCTATCAATGGGCTGCCTGTGTGATGGAGCCGTGGGATGGCCCGGCTTTGATCAGCTTCACCGACGGTCGTTACATTGGCGCCGTTCTGGATCGTAATGGACTGCGTCCATCTCGCTTCTATGTGACTAAGGAGAATGTGCTGGTCATGGCCAGCGAGGTGGGCGTCTATGATGTCGATCCGTCGCAGGTGACGCTCAAGAGTCGCCTCAAGCCAGGTCGCATGTTGCTGGTGGACACCAAGGAGCAGAAGCTTATCCAGGACATTGAACTGAAGTCGCGCATTGCGAAGTCGCGTCCCCACTCCGAGTGGCTGCAGCAGAAGGTGAGTTGGCTTTCCAATCCCTGAATCCCAGAATTCAAGAATCCCACCAACACGGTAGCACTCCCTTCCCTCTGACACGCGAAGCACAGCTAAATAGGTCGACACTCAAAATTGGTTAATGCTAATATAAATAACTCTCTGTAATTGTAATTGTTGTTGTTGTTATCCATTTCTCTACCATGCTCTCAATGTGATATATGTATGTATATCTGACGTGGACTAATCCCAGATGGTGAGTTGTCGGATCTTGAGCCGAGTCGTAGTCGTTGTAGACATTTTGTTGCTTTACGTTGGGTTGCATCGCATGTCCTTGTTTCACAGCTATCCAAAAACAGTTAGTTTAATCCATGTCGCACCTTGTTTCCGTCCATCAGATCACGCTGGATGAGATTCGTAATGCGAACGTGCTGAACACGCCCATCGAGGAGCCACCGAAGCCGCCAGCATCGCAGCGCGGTATTTTCGATCCGCGACTCTCGCTCTTTGGCTACACCACGGAGACGGTCAACATGCTCCTGATACCCATGTTCAAGAACAAGTAGGTGATCTTCGCCCATTAGTTGAACACATCAACAACTTTTGCAATCTCTTTACAGAAAAGAGGCACTTGGATCGATGGGCAACGATGCACCGCTAGCTTGCTTGTCCGGCTTTCAGCCCATTCCGTATGAGTACTTTAAGCAGCTCTTCGCACAGGTGACCAATCCACCAATCGATCCATTCCGCGAGAAGGTGGTCATGTCCATGCAATGTCCCGTTGGGCCAGAGGCGAATTTGCTGCAGCCATCGGCACAGCAGGTCCACCGCATTTGGCTGCCAAATCCCATATTGAGCATTCCAGATACCCAGCTGCTTAAGCGCAACACGCACCGTGGGTGGAAGACCAAGGTCCTGGACATTACATTCCAGTATAGCGAGGGCACTCGGGGCTACATGGAGTGCATCGAGCGCATCTGTCGGGAGGGTGCCAGTGCTGCTCAGGCGGGCTATCAGCTGATCGTTATATCCGATCGCGAGGCTGGCTCAAACGAACGTGTCGCAGTTTCAGCTCTGCTCGCGCTGGGTGCACTGCATCATCATCTGATCGAGACATTGCAACGCATGAAGGTGGGCATTATTGTGGAGACGGCCGAGGCACGCGAGGTGCACCACGTGTGCGTCCTGCTCGGCTATGGCGCCGACGCTATCTGCCCCTATTTGGCCTTCGAACTGGCCCAGGCGCTACGGGATGATGGCGTCATCAGTGCAGATGTCACCGACAAGCAGATCTACGCCGCCTACGCTCAGGCAATCGATACTGGTATTGCTAAGGTAATGGCCAAGATGGGCATCAGCACCCTGCAGTCCTACAAGAGCGCCCAGATCTTCGAGGCAGTGGGCTTGGGCAACGAGCTGATTGATAAGTGTTTCCGCGGCACTCAAAGCCGTATTGGTGGCGTGACCCTCGAGATACTGGCCAAAGAGGGTCTAGAGCGCTTCCAGTTGACCTATGGCAAGGTATCGCCCGACACACACATTCTTCGCAATCCCGGACAATACCATTGGCGTCATGGCGGCGAGGCACACATCAACGAACCCTCCTCCATTGGCAGCCTGCAAGAGGCGGCTGTCAGCAATAATAAGAACGCCTTCGAGGCCTTCAAGAAGACCACCCTGGAGAGTGTGAAGAACTGTGCGCTGCGTGGTCAGCTGGAATTTGTGACCGACCGTGAAAAGATTGACATATCCGAAGTGGAGCCGGCCAGCGAGATTGTGAAACGGTTAGTAAACTCTTTGATTTAGTATTTTCATTTGGTACTGACGCAGTTATCTTCCGCAGTTTCGCCACTGGCGCCATGAGCTTCGGCAGCATCTCGTTGGAGGCGCATCAAACGCTCTCCATAACCATGAATCGCATCGGAGGCAAGAGCAACACCGGCGAAGGTGGCGAAGACTCCGATCGCTATCTGAGTAAGTTTGGGAATAACAAGTCTTACTCAACTTGTAATTAATGTATTTATTTTCAACTCTTTCAGATCAAGATCCTAACAATAGCCGCCGTTCGGCTATCAAGCAGGTGGCTTCTGGTCGTTTTGGTGTAACCGCCTCGTACCTGGCCAATGCGGATGATCTGCAGATCAAGATGGCTCAGGGTGCCAAGCCGGGTGAAGGCGGTGAGCTGCCCGGCTACAAGGTGACCAAGGACATTGCCAAGACACGAAAATCAGTGCCTGGCGTGGGTTTAATATCGCCACCACCACATCACGATATCTATTCCATTGAGGATCTGGCCGAGCTGATCTACGATCTCAAGTGCTCCAATCCCAATGCGCGCATCAGCGTCAAATTGGTGTCTGAGGTGGGCGTGGGTGTGGTTGCCTCTGGCGTGGCCAAGGTAAGTTGAAGAGATCTACTCCAAATGCACTCCGTGTCTTACCTAAATTATGACTTCTGTACAGGGCAAAGCGGAACATATTGTCATTTCTGGCCATGATGGCGGCACCGGTGCCAGCTCCTGGACGGGCATTAAGAATGCTGGCCTGCCCTGGGAGCTTGGAATTGCAGAGACGCACCAAGTACTTGTTTTGAATAATCTACGATCAAGGTAAGTTTTCGACCAACAGACCCCTGGGGCACGTTCCACGTTCCCCAACCCCCACTTGTTACTAATCATGAAAGAAACATATTACTGAAGAAGAGCCTGGTTATCCAGATGACAGCGTTGGAAAACGTATTGAGATTATTGAGCTCGTTGATAAACAGAGATTGAGAATTGAGTTTAAAGAGAAACGATCGAACGGATTGATCCACAGATCTGTGTGTGAGGCAAGCCGGATAAAGGAAGGTGATCCATACATATCAACCTACACATAACATTGCATATAGCTCGATGATGTCGTTAATGCCGCTGTCTTTCATACTCAAAATTCAGTCAATGATGATGAGATCAACGGATATATCGAGATATATATATGTATATATAGCCAGATTGCTCACACACAATCCATCTACACACACATGCCACATGTCCAATTCAGACAAAATACAAACCGAAATGATATTGATTATGATCCGAACCAAACTGATCCGATCCGATCCGATCCAAACCGAACCGAACCGAACCGAACCATCGATCGGTGTCATCTACTCACTTGCTCGCTCGCACGATCGTCGCGCCGCGCTGTGCTCCATTCGTAATTTCTTCTCATTACATTAATCTCGATTTTGAGTATCCAATTAACATTGCATTCCTTTCTATGTCATATCTTCCTACTCCCATGGATCGCTTGTGGATGTGCAGGGTCGTCGTTCAGGCTGATGGTCAGCTGCGCACGGGCTTCGATGTGGTTGTTGCTGCTCTGCTTGGCGCCGATGAGTTTGGCTTCAGCACAGCTCCCTTGATTGTTATGGGTAGGCTAACTATTTCTCTCTGCAATGTTCCTTAATCTCTTATACCTTATTTTAGGCTGTACCATGATGCGCAAGTGTCATTTGAATACCTGTCCCGTGGGCATTGCCACACAGGATCCGGTGCTGCGCAAGAAATTCACCGGCAAACCGGAGCATGTCATTAATTTCTTCTTCATGCTAGCTGAGGATGTGAGTGTGACACTCAAAGTTGAGTTTCTCTGTGCTTTATGCTAATCCCTCGTCATTTTCAGATCCGCCAAATTATGGCCAATCTGGGCATCCGCAAGTTCCAGGACCTGATTGGACGAACCGATCTGCTGCGCATGTCCAGCCATCGGGGTATCAAAGCAAGCAATTTGGATCTCAAGCTGCTGCTGCAGCCAGCGCTGGAGCTGCGCCCAGGCACAAACATTGTCGGCGGCTCGGTGAAGCAGGACTTCCAATTGGAAAAGCGTTCCGATAATAAGTTGATCGAGCAGGCTCAGCAAATCTTTAACGGCAGCCGGGACAACATCACCATCAACATGGCCATACACAACGAAGAGCGTGCGTTTGGCTCTACCCTGAGCTATCACATTGCCTGTAAATATGGCGAGGCTGGTCTGCCTGCTGGAAAGAGCATTGATATCTTCCTCGAGGGCTCGGCTGGTCAGAGCTTCTGCGCCTTCTTGGCACGTGGCGTCAATGTGACCCTTAAGGGCGATGCCAACGATTATGTCGGCAAGGGCCTCTGTGGTGGCAATGTAGTCATCATGCCACCAGACACCGCACCGTTCGAGTCGCATCTGAATGTGATTGTGGGCAATGTGTGCCTCTATGGTGCCACCGAGGGCACCGCCTACTTCCGAGGCATTGCTGCTGAGCGGTTCTGTGTGCGCAATTCAGGCGTGACTGCCGTCGTGGAGGGTGTGGGTGATCACGGCTGCGAATACATGACTGGTGGATTGGTTGTTATCCTTGGCTTGACTGGACGCAATTTCGCAGCGGGCATGTCCGGTGGCATTGCCTATGTCTATGATATTGATGGTTCCTTCAAGCCCAAGGTCAATCCAGAATCAGTTGAGCTGTTGCCGTTGCAGTTGGACGAAGATGTGTCGCTGGTCAAGCGGCTCCTCGCTGACTTCATCGAGAAGACCGGCTCGAAGGTGGCCAAGGAACTGCTCGATAACTGGGCACAAGAGCAGGCGAAATTCGTTAAGGTCTTCCCATACGAATACCAGAAGGCCCTAAAGGACCTGGCTGAGCAGGCGGCACAGGAGCAGCCCGCCAAGGTGGCAGCTGTTGAGAATGGTAACGGCAAACATGAGCCGCACATCAAGGACATCGAGGAAGCCATTCAGGATGTGGCACTGGAACAGAAGCGTGCTGACCGTGTGCTGGACAAGCTGCACGGCTTTGTCAAGTACAAGCGCGAGGCGGCTCCATATCGCGATGCAGGCACCCGCCAGAAGGATTGGGATGAGGTCTACAATTTCCCACATGTGCGCAAGAACTTGAAGATGCAGGCCGCCCGTTGCATGGAGTGCGGTGTACCCTTCTGTCAGTCGAACTCCACGGGCTGTCCGTTGGGCAACATCATACCCAAGTGGAACGATCTGGTCTTCCACGGCGAATGGCAGGAGGCATTGCGACAGCTGCTCCAGACCAATAACTTCCCCGAATTTACGGGTCGCGTCTGCCCAGCCCCCTGCGAGGGCTCCTGCGTGCTGGGCATCTCGGAACCAGCAGTGACCATCAAGAATATCGAGTGCGCCATAATCGATCATGCCTTCGAGCAGGGCTGGATCAAGGCCGAGATACCAGAGACGCGCACCGGCAAGCGTGTGGCCATTGTGGGCTCCGGTCCCTCCGGCCTGGCAGCTGCTCAGCAGCTCAACCGTGCCGGACACTTTGTCACGGTCTTTGAGCGCAACGATCGTGTCGGAGGTCTGCTGCAGTACGGCATTCCAACCATGAAGCTATCCAAGGAGGTGGTCAAGCGACGCGTGGATCTCATGGCCGATGAGGGCATTGAGTTCCGTACCAATGTGCACATTGGCAAGGATACTAGCGCAGAGAAGTTGGTGCAGAGGTAAGTCATATTTGCATAGACTCTAATTGAAATCCTCAATAACATCTTTTCCACTTCCTAGCTATGATGCGGTGTTGTTAACCACTGGCTCCACCTGGCCGCGCGACTTGCCTTTGGCCAATCGCGATCTGCAGGGCATTCACTTTGCCATGGAGTTCCTCGAGGCGCAGCAGAAGAAACAGCTGGGCGGCAAGAAGGAGATCATTTCGGCTGAGGGCAAGGATGTCATCATTATTGGTGGCGGCGACACCGGTTGCGATTGCATTGCAACCTCATTGCGTCAGGGTGCAAAGAGCATTACCACATTCGAGATTTTGCCAGAGCCTCCAGCGAAGCGTGCCGACGACAATCCTTGGCCACAGTGGCCCAAGGTATTCCGTGTGGACTACGGCCATGAGGAGGTGCGCCTCAAGTGGGGCAAAGATCCTCGTCAATACTGCACCACAACCAAGGAGTTTGTGGGTGAGAATGGGCATATTAAGGGAGTGCACACTGTCGAGGTGGAGTGGACCAAGACAGAGACGGGCGCATGGCGCATGCAGGAGGTGGCAGGCTCGGAGAAATACTTCCCAGCTGATCTGATTCTGCTGGCCATGGGCTTCCTTGGGCCGGAGAAGACGGTGCCCAACGAGCTGGGTCTGGAGCTGGATCCTCGCGGTAACATAAAAGCATGCAACGGACAGTATGGAACCTCCAATCCCAAGGTGTTCGCAGCAGGCGGTAAGTGGAACTGATTGAGGTGGCATGGAAAACGAATAATTTTAAAATATTCTGCTTTGCAGATTGCCGGCGTGGTCAGTCGTTGGTGGTATGGGCCATTACGGAGGGTCGTCAGGCGGCGCGTCAAGTGGATTCCTACCTAACGGGCAAACCCAGCGGCTTGCCTGGACCTGGCGGTGTCATTAATCCAACAGTACCCAGATACTAAGTACCTAAAGATGTGATGCTGGATGGTGATGCGGGGTGTCTGTCTTCTGTCTGTGTGCGTGCGTCGTCCTTAGCATAGAACAATTCGTATGGTTTTCATTTTGAGAACCTAATTAGAATTTGTGATTTTTATTTTCGCGATTTTAGTTTAGTTTACTCTAAAAAGACTTCAGTTTTTTACACTACATATTAAATACCTTTTAATTATCGTTTTATTTTTGTTTTTGACGGCGCCACGCCCACAATGCGCTCCTGGCCACTCCAGTAGCTGCGATGCCCTCCAAGACTTTGATACGAAATGAGAGAGTCAATTATGAGTGCAAAACAAAGTGTGTCGAAAATTACAAAAACCCCAAATGTTGGGTCTAAAAATATCCAAATTCAAAGGACAATAACTAGAAATTACCGTTAAAGCGTTATAAAAATCAACAACAAAAACAAAAAACATATAATATCACATATTAGATATGTATTTGTGTTTCATATAAATATTGTACTTACTCGCTTTCTGTTTCGAGAATTTAGCCAAAAGTTGGTATGCTGATTCCTTCAATTAACAAAAACTACAAGTAATAATGGCACTGAGCACGTATATTTATAATTCCGCAGTTTTCTCAGCTTATATCGAATTGCATTTGTAGGTGTTGTTTGTTTTTTGAGCTACAACTGATCGTTAATTGCAAAGTACCTCTATAAACTATTTACAATATGTATCAACAAAACAAAAATATTGGTATTTCTAATGCCGTACGTTTAATGATCCCTTGGCAAGATACCATAATTAATCCATATGTATACATATATATATATATCTTATAACAAAAAGATTATTCACATCAATGTACACCTATATATACAAGCAAATATGTGAATTCAAATGGTGAAGTATTAAATATATTAAAGTGTTGCAAGCAAAAATTCAAAGAGCTTTTTATCTGCCGCGCAAATGTAATGTAAGGGAAAGCTGACTGCTATAGCATCAATCACTGTATCGATATACGAAAAATATCGTATACTCACCCGGCTATCGATGCTCAACAACAATATTGCCTCCTGTCAGTGCTTACATGCTAAAAACATAAAAATAACATTTCTTTTCGCCATAGGGCAGCACTGTGCGTCTTTCGCACGCGTATTTTTGTGCAGATTTTGTGTGGAAATTAATAGTAATTTGTTGATAAAATAGTGAAAATACAGTTGCAATCATGGCACAATTTGATCTAACACGCATCAATTGTCAATATCTGGACAGACATTTGACTTTCCCACTGCTTGAGTTTTTATGCGGCAAGGAGGTTAGAAAAATTCATTGCTTCGTGTCACCGTCATCAAATGTCAAATTCTTCACAAATGACTATAACTTTCATAATTTACCTATGTTCCGCAGATCTACAATCAGCAGGAGCTGCTGGAGTATATTCTGGAGACGGTGAACAAGACGAACATGATTGATTACACCATGGACACACGCAAGCGTCTTAATCTCAGTCAGGAGATGCCGGAAGAGCTTGTGCAGCGCAAGGCCGAGGTGTTGGCTACATTGAAGCAGCTGCAAAACGAAGTGGCGCCCATCATGAAGGCCACCGACATTCTGAAGAACGGCGAGAGCATGAAGGACTCGAAGACTTTTGTGAATGCTCTGCAGAAGGACTACAATTTCAAGGTGGAGCACCTGGAGAGTGCCTACAAGCTGGCGAAGTACTTGTATGAGTGCGGCAACTACCAGGAATCAACATCATACTTGTATTTCTGCCTTATTGTCATGTCGCCAAATGATAAGGTAAGTAAAATGCATTTATCCTTAGGAATGGTGTCTTATTTGTCATCCTTGCAGAACTATCTGAATGTGTTGTGGGGAAAGTTGGCCGCTGAGATTCTGACTCTCAACTGGAATACCGCACTTGAGGATTTGACGCGTCTGCGTGACTACATTGATAGCGCAAATTTCTCGACCATTCAAGCGCTGCAGCAGCGCACCTGGTTGATCCACTGGTCCGTGTTGGTGTTCTTCAATCATCCAAAGGGCCGTGACCTCATTATTGAGATGTTCCTGTATAAGCCACTGTATCTGAATGCTATACAGACGATGTGCCCACACATTATGCGCTACTTGGCCACCGCCGTGGTCATCAATCGCACTCGTCGTAATGCTCTCAAGGATTTGATTAAGGTCATACAGCAGGAGTCGTACACCTATCGTGATCCCATCACCGAGTTCCTCGAGTGCCTCTACGTGAACTTTGACTTTGAAGGCGCACGTCTCAAGTTGCACGAGTGCCAAACAGTCATTTTGAATGACTTCTTCATTGTCGCCTGCCTCAACGAATTTGTGGAGGATGCGCGTCTGATGATCTTCGAAACATTCTGTCGCATCCATCAGTGCATCACCATAAGCATGCTCGCTGACAAGTTGAATATGAAGCCCAACGAGGCCGAATGCTGGATTGTCAACCTTATACGCAATGCTCGTCTCAATGCAAAGATCGATTCGAAACTTGGCCACGTCGTAATGGGTACACAGCCACTAAGTCCTTATCAGCAGCTGGTGGAGAAGATTGACTCGCTGTCCATGCGCTCAGAGCATTTGGCGGGTCTGATTGAACGCAAGAGCAAACAAAAGAATCAAGAATCCATTGACTCCTGGAAGTACTATTAAGCATAAGAGAAACTCGTATTTTTTGTATTTCAAAACGCCGGCAATTATGCCAATAACGATTTGTAGAAAAACTAATGTTACGCCACATGGTGCGAATAAAACAACATCTCTATTCGCAGCCAGAACATCCTTATTGCCCACACCCATGCATAGATATATATCCAAAATTTTATTTTTATGCTAAACATTGAATTTAATTTAATTTCCATGCGGAATAAGTTATTTAACACAATACGGAGGGTTGGGCATAGCTCATTAACAATTTACATCTCGCCTAGCTTACAATGCAGATAGGTCCTAGTCCTAGTCCTAGATTTCTATGTATAGCTTCTTGTACCAATGACTGTGCGCGTAGCGCAGAATGAAGATCAGACGATTAATTGCTACCTCATTTTATTTCTGTATGCGGATGGTTTGACTACCATCCAGGCCTTGGTCGGCAAATTCTGCAGACGGACTATCCATTTGCGCACCACCGCTAGCCAAATGATGCCATATATCACACACACTGCCGCTTCCAAGTAGTAGCCATCAAATATGATCTCGCAAGTGCCAGAAGCTGACGAACAGGCCTGATAGAAAAAAAAAGCGAAATTATTGAATATGCAGATAGATAGATTGCAGTGAAGGCGACTTGCCTGCTGTTCTTCCTTATCCTCGCAAAGGTTTTCGGGTTGTGTGGTGCACTGCTTTATAGTTAGTACGTCCACTAGCCAAAGCACCACCGTATTCGGCCAATTGCCGCCAAGATTGCACAATGTATTTAGGAATGTCATGTAGGTGCCACCAACGGCAGGATCCGATATCTTGGCAAAGAACGCCATGGCGGCCACAAACATTGAGTACAGGAATACCTGATAACAGCCATAACTGAAAACAAGAAGCACATAGTAGTAGACGGGCACCTCGCCGCCGGAAATCAAATAGGGAGTGGCATAGGCAATAAGCGAGGCCACAGTCGCAAACACGATACGATAGGGTATTGCCTTTAGGTATACATCCAGTGGACGGGGACCGTTGGTATATTTGCCCACTATGAGGGGCAATATAAGTTGAAGTGGAATCACGGGAATAGCCAGCAGGGCTAACTTCTCCTTGGGCACGCCGGCATCGATGAGTTTCAGTGAGGTAACCGCATCGGAGGCTGCAAAAGTTACTTTTACGGTGAGCAGAATGCCAGCTAAAATCTGTACGGGTCGCTTGCGAACCATATCCCAGAGGACCCTGTAGCTTTCGTGTATGCTAAGTTCGTGCTCCTCCTTGTAGCGTGCATCGGTGTGAGCGTCTTCGACATCGTTCTCACGTTTGAATATTGCCACCAGAGTGGTTGCCACGATGAATGTGATGCCCCAGAACCAGAGGAAACGTGGCAGGGTAACCATGCCCGCATCGCCTGGCTCAGATCGCAAATATGTGTTGCAAAAGTCCTTCGACTCCAGAGCAATGAACACCACATAGCCCAAGAAGTAGCCAGCCGTTTGGCCCACACTATTGCAGGTGGAAGCGTAGCCCACATTGCAACGTTTCAGCATAGTCAGAGCCCAGCCGTCGACCGCGATGTCCTGCGTGGCGGCCAAAAAGTTCAGCACAAAAAACAAGAGCGTTAGTAATGGCACATTCGGCTCCAGGTCTTTGCCACCCAGCCAACGATCCACGTGCACCGACAACAGCAGCATAAAGAAGCCCAACAAATACTGCACAGGCACCAGCCACGATTTGCGACGACCGAAACGTCGCACGTACAGTGAGTCCACAATGGGTGCCCACAGCAGCTTGATGCTGAATGGCCAATAGGCGAACGAGAACTCCGCCTGCTGTTTGTAGCTGGCGCCTCGATTCTGCAGCAGCATGGGCACAGCAGCAATCAAGCCAATGGGAATACCTTGCAGCACGTACAGGAACAGCAATATGGCTATGTTACGCCTGTCGCCCCGCAAATCAGGCTTCTCCTCTGTGTCTCCCTGTGCCATGGTTTCGACGAGCGTTTGCTCGTCATGCGCTTGACCCCGACGGCGAGCGGACATGTTGTTGTCTGCAAATTGACGGACAATGAAATGTGTTATGCATGTTTTAACTCATTATTTCATTTGCGCTCTCACCTTCAGCTGCTTCTCTAATCAGCAGCAAATAAAAAACAACAACAGCTGCAGGTCCACGTCAGTTAAAGGTGGCTAATGTTAGCAACGGGTTTCCAAAAAAAAAAAACAAAAATTAATTTTTTGTAAACCTTCTGAACCGAACTTCAAAACAAATTAATTTAATCAAATTTATTTCAGCGATTTATATCATTGTATGACGATGTGGCGCTGGTTTGTTGACGTTCGCGTTTCGCCTGATTCAAGTACTATTCATATTTAGCAAAACGATTCGCTCGACCAACATCGAACGTATCGAAAGCCAGTGAGAGTATCGATAAATCGATTAACCTGTAAAGCTCATTTCACAACCGGTTTTTAGATACCACTTTTTGCTCTTCAAAATATTTACCCCCACATGCAGAAAAAGCAATTATATGCATATGTACACATACATATTATTAAATAGCTTTTTGAA